CGGAGCCCAAAAAAGCCCCAACACGGGCCAAGAATGCCCCAAGAGGCCCCAAAGACAGTCCAAGAGAACCCCGAATCGCCGAACGATCTGTCCAAGACGCCTTGACGGCCTCCAGACGGCCCAAGAGGCCTGCAAAGCGCCCCAAGAGGCCTCCAGGAGCTTTCCCACGAGAGCCCCAAGAGGCAAAATTCATGGATTTCCCATACGCTATTTGAAGATTTGGGCGTTCTTGCCTCTTCCGCTTCCCGACGCGCCAAGACGGCCCAAGAGGCCCCCAAGATCGCTCCGAGACGGTCCAAGAGGCCTCTCAGAGGGTCCCTTAACGGCCGAATAGGGCCCCAAGACGGCCCAAGACGCCTCCAAGACGGCCCAAGAGGCCACCCAGACGGCTCCAGGAGAGTGCCCAGACGGGGGACCCGAACAGACATTTCGAGCCGTCAGCCCCAAGAGGCCCCCAAGAGGCCCCGAAGAAGCCCCAAGAGGCCCCAAGAGGCTCCCAAGGGGCCCCCAATCTGCCGCAAGACAGCCCAAGAGAGCCCCAAATTGCCCAGGAGGCCTCCAAGAGTGCCTCGAGACGGCGCAAGAGGAGCCCTGGACGGCCCAAGACGGCCTCAAGAGAGCCCCAGGCTGTCCCAAGAAAGCCTCTGGCCTCCTCCTCCTCCTCCTCCTCTCCTCCTCCTCCTCCTCTTCTCCTCTTCCTCCTCCTCCTCGTCCTCGTCCTCCTTCTCCTCCTTCTCCTCCTCCTCTCCTCCTCCTCCTCCTCCTCCTCCTCCTCCTCCTCCTCCTCCTCCTCCTCCCCCCTCTGCTCCCCCTCCTCCTGCTCTCCTCTGCCTCCTTCACCTCCCCTTGCTTCTCCTCCACATCCTTCTCCCCCCTCCTCCTCCCTCATCCACCTCCTCCACCCTTCCTCCACCTCCCACTCCTCCTCCTCCCCCTGCCCCTCCCCTCGTTTTCATCTTCGTCGTTCTCAAGGTCGGCGGCATCGGCCGTAAGGCCTTCGAAATAGTATGGTACTCCATTGTTTTCCTCGCTCTGGCGGGGCCTCCCTAGAAGGTGGGGGGCTCGAAAGCTAATAGATAGTATGGTATTCCGATGACCTCCTCGCTCGGGCAGGGCCCCCTTAGAGGGGGCAGGGTCACGACACCTGATAAATAGCGTGGTGCTCCGATACCTTCCTCGCTCTTGCGGGGCCTCACTGGAGGGCTGGGAGGAATCCAAAAACTCATGACTTGTGTAGTACTCTGGTGCTCTCCTCGCTCTGGCGGAGCCTCCTTGGAGTGTGGGAGGGGCACGAAACCTGATACATAGTATGGTACTCCAGTGCTCTGGCGGGGCCTTCTTGAACAGCGGGGAGGGACACGAAAGCTGATAGTCCTAGTCGTCGTCGTCGTAGTAGCAGCAGTAGCAGTAGCAGGAGCAGGAGCAGTAGTAGTAGTAGTAGTAGTAGTAGTAGTAGTAGTAGTAGTAGTAGTAGTAGTAGTAGTAGTAGTAGTAGTAGTAGTAGTAGTAATAGTAGTGGTCGTAGTGATAGGAATAATAATAATGGCGATACGAAAAGTAATACTAGCAGTATTAGCAGTAGTTTTAGTAACAGTAGTCCTAACAAAAAAAAATAGCAACATGAATAAGCAGAAAAATTGCCGTCGTAGTCGTAATCGTCGTCGTCGTCGTAGTAGTAGTAGTAAATGTACGAGTAGTAGAAGTAGCAGTAGAAGAAGTAGTAGTAGTAGTAGTAGTAGTAGTAGTAGTAGTAGTAGTAGTAGTAGTAGTAGTAGTAGTAGTAAAAGTAGTACTAGTAGTAGTAGTCGTAGTCGTAGTCGTAGTAGTAGTAGTAGTAGTAGTAGTAGTCGTAGTAGTAGTAGAGTAGTAGTAGTAGTAGTAGTAGTAGTAGTAGTAGTAGCAGCAGTAGTAGTAGTAGTCGTAGTAGTAATAGTAGTAGTAGTAGTAGTAGTAGCAGCAGTAGTAGTAGTAGTCGTAGTAGTAGTTAGTAGTAGTAGTAGTAGTAGTAGTAGTGGTGGTAGTAGTAGTAGTAGTAGTGGTAGTGGTTAGTGGTAGTGGTTAGTGGTAGTGGTGGTAGTAGTAGTAGTAGTAGTAGTAGTAGTAGTAGTAGTAGTAGTAGTAGTAGTAGTAGTCGCAGTAGTAGTAGTAGTAGTAGTAGTAGTAGTATAGTAGTATTAGTAGTAGGTAGTAGTTAGTAGTAGTAGTAATGAGCGGTAATAGTAGTAGTGGTTAGTCGTAGTAGTAGTAGTAGTGTAGTAGTAGTAGTAGTCGTAGTAGTAGTAGGTCGTAGTAGTAGTAGTCGTAGTAGTAGTAGTAGCAGTAGTAGTTGTTGTAGTAGTGGTAGGAGTCCGTAGTAGGTAGGAGGTAGTAGGTAGGTAGGTAGGTAGGTAGGTAGTAGTGTAGTAGTAGTATAGTAGTAGTAGTAGTAGTAGTAGTTAGTAGTAGTAGTAGTAGTAGTAGTAGTAGTAGTAGTAGTAGTAGTAGTAGTAGTAGTAGTAGTAGTAGTAGTAGTAGTAGTAGTAGTAGTAGTAGTAGTAGTAGTAGTAGTAGTAGTAGTCGTAGTAGTAGTAGTAGTAGTAGTAGTAGTAGTAGTAGTAGTAGTAGTAGTAGTAGTAGTAGTAGTAGTAGTAGTAGTAGTAGTAGTAGTAGTAGTAGTAGTAGTAGTAGTAGTAGTAGTAGTAGTAGTAGTAGTAGTAGTAGTAGTAGTAGTAGTAGTAGTAGTAGTAGTAGTAGTAGTAGTAGTAGTAGTAGTAGTAGTAGTAGTAGTAGTAGTAGTAGTAGTAGTAGCCGTCGTCGTATTAGTATGAATGCATGTAATAACAGTAGTAGCAATAATCACGGCAGTGCTAGTGGTGCTAGTAATAGTCGTCGTAGTAGCAACCGTAGTCGTATTACTACTAGTAGTAGTACTAGTGATCGTAATAGTGATCGTATTAGTGGTGGTAGCCGTAGTCGTAGTAAACGGTAGTAGTAGTCGTGGTAATACTGAACATACGAGTAGTAGGTCTTCGTATTGAAAAAGCTATTACTGGTAGAGTAAGACTACAAGTAATAGTCGCAATTGAAATAATAGTGGTAACCGTGGTCGTACTAATATCAGTCGCAGTAGGAATAGTAGTAGTAATAGTAGTAGTAGTAGTACTCACAGTAGTGGTCGTACAAGAAACAATAACAGTAACAGTAGCGGTGCTA